CACACGACTACGGAAATGAGAAATCTTGCACCACTAGAGCTCATACATTCAGATCTATGTGAAATGAATGGTGTGTTGACAAAAGGTGGAAAGAAATATTTCATGACGTTAATTGATGACTCCACTAGATACTGCCGTGTGTATCTTCTGAAATCTAAGGATGAGGCTTTGAACTTTTTTAAGATCTATAAAGCTGAAGTGGAAAACCAACTTGATCGAAAAATCAAGAGACTTAGGTCTGACCGTGGTGGAGAGTATTTTTCCAATGAATTTGATGCTTTTTGTGCGGAACATGGTATAATCCATGAGAGGACGCCTCCCTATTCACCTCAGTCAAATGGGGTGGCTGAAAGAAAGAACCGTACTCTAACTGATTTGGTTAACGCCATGTTAGACACATCGGGTCTCTCCAGGGCATGGTGGGGGGAGGCGATATTGACGGCATGTCATGTCCTAAACCGAGTTCCCACAAAGAACAAAGAGATAACTCCATTCGAGGAATGGGAGAAGAAAAGGTTAAAACTCTCTTATCTACGAATATGGGGTTGTTTGGCGAAAGTCAATGTTCCAATTCCAAAGAAGCAGAAGCTTGGACCAAAGACTGTGGATTGTGTTTTCCCGGGATATGCTTTTCATAGCATTGGCTATAGGTTCTTGGTTGTAAAATCTGAGGTACCTGGCATGCATGTCGGTACGATCATGGAGTCGAATGATACGACTTTCTTTGAAGATATCTTTCCCATGAAGGATATGGCTACCTCATCTAATCAGGAGATGCCTAGTTCATCGAATCAGGAACCAGTTACAATTACCAAACCTGCCATTTCGATGGAAAACTTTGAAAGTCCTGTGGAGGAAAACAATGAAGTTCCTACTAGTAGCAAGAGACAGAGGACTGCAAAGTCCTTTGGTGATGATTTTCTTATGTATCTCATAGATGACACTCCCAGTTCTATTTCAGAGGCTTATGCATCTGAAGATACTGACTACTGGAAGGAAGCGGTTCGTAGCGAGATGGATTCCATCTTAGCGAATGAAACTTGAGAGATAGTTGATCGTCCTTATGGGTGCAAACCTATAGGATGTAAATGGGTATTCAAGAAGAAGCTTAGGCATTGAAAAGTACAAGGCTCGGCTCGTGGCTAAGGGTTATACCCAAAAGGAAGGTGAAGACTTCTTTGATACTTACTCACCTGTGGCTCGACTGACCACTATTCGAGTTCTACTTTCACTAACTGCCTCGCATGGTCTTTTCGTTCATCAAATGGATGTTAAGACTGCTTTCCTAAATGGAGAGTTGGACGAGGAAATTTATATGGAACAACCAGATGGGTTTGTAGTAGATGGTCAGGAAGGAAAAGTGTGCAAGTTGCTAAAGTCTTTGTATGGACTCAAGCAAGCACCCAAACAATGGCATGAGAAGTTTGAAAGAACTTTAACAACTGCAGGCTTTGTTGTAAACGAAGCTGACAAATGTGTGTACTATCGCCATGGTGGGGGCGAGGGAGTTATCCTTTGCTTGTATGTTGATGACATACTAATTTTTGGAAAAAATCTGAATGTTATTAAGGAGGTCAAGGATTTTCTATCTCGTTGTTTTGAGATGAAGGATTTAGGAGTGGTTGATGTCATTCTGAACATCAAGTTGTTGAGAGACGATGATGGTGGGATTACATTGCTTCAATCTCACTATGTGGAAAAGATCTTGAGTCGCTTTGGCTATAGTGACTACAAGCCCTCTCCAACACCATATGATGCGAGTGTGTTATTTCGAAAGAATCGAAGAATTGCTAGAGATCAATTGAAATATTCTCAGATTATTGGCTCGCTTATGTACTTAGCAAGTGCTACAAGACCTGACATCTCTTTTGTTGTTAGCAAACTGAGTCGGTTTGTCTCAAAACCAGGAGATGTGCATTGGAAAGCTCTAGAGAGAGTTCTGCGTTATTTAAAGGCACTACAAATTATGGAATTCACTACACCGGGCACCCAAAGGTGCTTGAAGGGTATAGTGACTCAAACTGGATCTCAGATGCTGATGAGATAAAGCCCACGAGCGGTTATGTATTCACTCATGGAGGTGGCGCTGTTTCTTAGAAGTCTTGCAAGCAGACCATCTTAACGAGGTCAACAATGGAAGCAGAACTCACATCACTAGATACAGCTACGGTTGAAGTAGATTGGCTTCGCCGGCTCTTGAATGACTTGTCGGTTGTTGAGAAACCTGTACCGGGTGTCCTTATGAACTGTGACAATAAAACTGTGATCACGAAAGTGAGCAGCTCAAAGGATACATGAAGTCATCAAGACATGTTCAGAGAAGGTTAAAGTCTGTCAAGAAAATGAAAAACTCCGGAGTTATTGCATTGGATTATATCCAAACGTCTAAAAATCTGGCAGATCCTTTTACTAAGGGTCTATCACATAATGTGATAGATAATGCATCGAGGGAGATGAGTATGAGACCCACAATATGAGTTGTTCATAGTGGTAACCTATTCTTTGTGATCAGAGGTCCCGTGAATTAGATGTGGAAGACAAGTTGTTGGTCAACAAAGAGGAGAGTATCCTTACTATTCACAATACCACTCCATGAAGATGCAATACTCTCCTAATCTGCATGGCAGGTTGATATATATCTTAATATGTTCTAAGTGGCTCATTAAAGCAGAGATGTTATCCTGCAGAACATCTTTTGAAGAACACACCTATATGAGTCTGATTGTCAAACGTCGCAATCTATGAGAGTAGGATTCTCTCTAGTAAACTCATGAAAGGTCACGGAGTATGACGCATAAGCTCCACCCGCGGGGAAGACCCACGGTAGCCACGTATCGGTCAAGGCTTTATGTGAAGCTAGATTCGCAGAAAACTTGCAGTTCAAGGCCCAGTCCACTGTTCAAGTTGCTTACTAGTGTAGCATAGAGTTCTAGGTGGAAGTTCAACTTAACAGTCTCCACTGCAGTACCGGTATATAAAACAGTGTTTTGGAACCAAAGGCAAATTTCTGTGTGCCTCTGGGATCTAGTGGGGGATTGCTGGAATTTAGTCTATTTTGGGCAGCCCAATAACTATTTCAGAAATTCCTAATAAATCCTAGAGGCCCACTTAGCCCATTTGTGCAAGGCAAGGGATACTATTAAAGTTTAGTCCCACATTGCTAGTTTAGTGGGAGTTGGGCCTCCTTATAAGGGAGGTTCTTTCCCCACTTGTATGAGCATGGGAACAAGAGGGATATCCACGCGCGCTCCTCCTTCGCCGCCCGCCTCGCCACGCCACGCCTCGTCACGACGTGCCGCGCCGCGGGTTGCGGGAATGAGCCGAGCCGATATCTAAATTTTTGCCACGCACTACGGGTATACGAAAGGTCACACGGAAGCTGAAAAGATTTTTGCGAAAGTGGAGTTCGAATGCGAACGGTGCAGCCCTTCGGCTGCTGGCTGTTTGCTTCACCTCCGTCTCTTCGTTTCGCCTCCCGTCGCTGCCCTCTCCCCTCCTTCTCTTGCATCTATAAAAGGGAGGTCGCTCCTCCCAGAGAGACGCATCAGAACCTCTTCCTCCTCTCACCACAAGTTCCTGAGCACTGCGCTGCTGCTACGATCTTCCTCATCCCGGCTTGCGGCGTGCACCGCAGGTCGGGACAGTAGGCCTCCGAAGCCGCACTTTTTGAGTCCTGTATGGGAGAAGGGTGATAAGGTTTTTGGGGAGCGCTCAGCGCGACTACTGGCTGCTTCATCACGGACGATCCGGTCGCCGACGACGACTTCTTCCCCCAACGTCCACGACCTCCTCGACGATATGGCAGGCGAGGACACCGACCCCAAGTCCAGCACTTCTACTGTTGTTGTCCCGTACATGTTCTTGCTCTTTCTGTTAGATGTCATGACACAGTTCTTTGCTCTACTTTCCGTCCTACATGTGTTAGGTTCTACTTCATATATGCAACTTCATCTAGTGTATGTTCTAAATGTTTTTAGTTCAAGTTCATATATGCAGATGCTCTTTACCTTCTCTCTGTCCGAACGCATGACTTGTTTTATCTCTACTATATTAGTCATGCTTTATCTAGTATTTCCGTTAATAAAATCATTCGGTAAATTGCTCATATTTCCAACAGTTTCACTCAATGCTGGCCGTCCGCTCCTAGACTCAATTTTGGAATTTAGAATTTAGAGAAAATGTATTTGTAGATATTAATAAATTTCCTCACAAACTTGGTCAAACATAGATTTTTTTAACTTTAAAATCAATACACCTTAAATTTCAAATGGAGAGAGTAATGCCTAAGCTTTCAATGAGATATTTTTGGTACCCTATTTTGCTCATATTAATCATGTAAGTGGACCGTAATTACTACTTCTGTTGATTATATTCTGTGACTTACAATTTGTGAATATTTTTAATGACTTTGTTACAAGATCGACACACAAAAAGAATTCATCCTTTGCCACTGTTTTGCAGCCCCACACCTACAGTTCTACAGTAGTGTTTTTTTTCTTTTGAAAAAAGCAAAAGGCCATATATTAACTAGCAGAAACCCTAAACAAAACTCCTTACAGAAATTGGATGCCAAAGTCTTCTTCCTCAGCGGTAGGCGTGGCTCGTTCACTCGGTTCTCTCATGGTCTATTCTATGGTTTACTACAAAAGGGAAACGGATATGCCTCACACATCGTTCAATCACTGCAGCAATGATTGCATCCAGTTGTGGAGGAAAGATAACCATGGCTGTTGCACACACCAATATTGTATATGTCATTCGTGAGTGCAGATTTATTCGAAAATGGTGGCCTTTTTGTCCACCCATCCTCAACCGGGCCCATTGTCATCACCATTATCTCTTTATATAAATAGTGATACCATTTAGCCATACCTCTCACCTCCGATCAAGAGCAAATCGGCAATTTCTAGCCAGGTGAGCGATAGCCAATATCTATAGCCTGACCTCCTGCCGATCCCAGGCTAGTAGCTGCCATGGCTTCTGCATCCGTTCACAAGACGATGGCCGCCGTCCTCCTGCTGGTCCTGACCCTGGGGCACCTGATGGCTGCTGCTGATGCGTCTCTGCACCACCAAGACGCTCGGCGGCTGCTTGCAGAGCACAATAATCTCTCTGCGAAACTGAGCCTCTCGGAAGCTGCAAGAGTCGTCGTCCGACCACAAGAGCAGCCCGGAACCACAGCCGTCCCGACAGATGCTGATAAGGAAGCCTTGTGCCTTTGCCCCCCCTTATGCTTCTGCTAGCTAGCGGCCAAAGGATGTTGATGTTCAATTAAAATCATCATGTGCCATGTGCTACAATAATCACGCCATGCCGCCATGGCTGAGTCCCAGGCATGAGCTAGTCTGTGTGTGTCGCGTTGCGCCGCGCCGAGTCTGTGTCAGAGTCAGTTCGTGTCGCATCGTTTTAAGTCGGATCAAGTTGTTGATCGAGTCTAGGTTTGTTGCAGGATGGGTGTAAGATCGTTGCACATTAGCTGCCACGTTGATTGAGTCGGAAATAGCTGGGATAGGGTCACCGATCCACACGGAGACACCAGTGTCCTTGCTTCTCATTATTTTTCTGCAGTATTGGTGCTCTGTTATCTACATGCAACTTTAAATAAAAATAGTAATATTTAAGTTGTAGCTATAATATTTATTTCAAGCAATACTGAGCTATCAACTTGAAATTATAAATATATATATTTGCACTGCATTCAGCTTTGAAGGATTCCACTACTTCAAAGTATAGCTATCACTTCAGAATTATAAGTACTAGTCATCAACCCGTGCGTCTGCATGGGCTAGCTAATTTTTGATAGAATGCAACTGATAACATTCAATTGTATGCGGATATTAGCATAATTAAAAACTCAATAAAGAAGCATACATTTGAAAACAGATTACATGAAATTACCAGCAATAGTAGATTGGCTACCATTTGGTCCAAAGAAATTTATTTTAATAAAGGCTTCATTATATTTATGTTTATTATATATGAAGTTTGAAAAATATTCTTTCTACGGATAAGTTAGAGCTCCAGTGAACTCAATTAGCAAATATACGAAGAATTAGTAAATATTACCATTTTCTGTCTGCTCCTTTAATAATATTAGGTGAGCCTAAATATTGTGAGCTTGCATAACTGATGATCTAAAACCTTGTGACACCATGTACCATGCATGATATATTGTACGAACCCAAAATAGCTTCTTGGCTGTAGTGTGTTGGGTTAAATTGGGCAAACCACATTTTCAAGTTTTAAAAAGTCTAAATCTATATATATTAATGTATTTATACGCATATTCAATGTTTAAGAAATGTTTGCTTGCATTTATATTCTAGGCATCATAGTGTCCCTTAGGGCTGAAAGCCGAAATAATTAGACATGTACATACAATGGAAGTGTATAACCGGGATTCAGAGACGTAGTCTGAAGAAACACATATACATCTGATTTCTCTATATAGGAAAAAACAACTTGTTTTGGCCATGGACTCTCTCCGTACCAATTGGCTGGCCATTGTTCCAATTGTTCAAGTCAGGGACGCGACCATGCTATAGGAAATCTGCTAATATCTTGTAATCGGTTGACTTGGTTGGGAATTAGCGGGGAGTTAAAGGATCCAGGCTTACTTTCCTACTGATTAGGGATGACTGTCAGGAAGATGAATCACCATGTGAATAGTCTGATTCGCAAAAAATAATTAAAAAAGTGTGCGAACAGACCGCCGTACTCCTTCGACTCGAGTCTTGATGAGGGCAGCATCCGTGGAGCTGCTTCAAACTGCGGTCGTCCCATCACTTCCGCTATTTCCCTAATATGAAGATTAAAATGGAACAAAGGTATACTGCTATACTATTTACTATATGTCATCCTAGCATGTGAGTCCATGATCGGTAAAAGAAGAATTCACTCATGCCAAAACAGATGAGAAGGACTATAAAGAGCTACCCGTAGCACTGGCCTGGAGATCAAAAGAGTGATGGAGAGACCTACACATAGTTTTCTGAATCTGCAAAAGCATTATACACAAAGGTATGTGCATATTGACCATATTTAGCAGCGAAACATCATTACCTGGAGTGCAGCACTTGCATAGTAGAGTACATTTTTTTAACCGATAGTAGAGTACAGTTAGGGCAATAGGAACTGACATGACATATATAACATATATAGAAAGCAATGGACTATGCCATTTAAAACAGGATAGTTTTAAATCTGACTACTTTATCTAACAACTAAAAAGGGTACAATTTTAGTATATAAATATGTGAGCAAAATGAAATTTCTAAGCCTAGTACCTCTATGCAATGACAGTATAATTAATTAGATATACACAATTGTGTTAATCAGAAATTTTTTATAATATACTTGAAAGAAACACACACACATCATTTGATCTTCTACGTAAGAAACTATAACAACTAATTCGGTTGGCCATATAAAATGAACTAACTTGATTCCCTACAATATAGATTATGTGCTGCTACCGGAGGCGATGCAGAACACCCCACTGCCATGCGCCCTCATCTTATGGCGCACAATGGAGCCAAGATGACTGAATATGGATTCACATGGGTTCTATCATCTGTGAAGAATTCGTAGGATGGACAATACAGCAGGCGTTGTGACACCACGAGTTCGCTGCATTTTCTTTCACACGGCCTAGTCTACTTGAAACTGCTGTTGGTACACCTGTGTCACCAAACATCAACCATCATGAGAAGATTAAGTGATTGGGCTGTTCAGAACCTGAAATATGAGGAGATTAAAGACCGAAAAAAAGAGATTAGGGAGATCCTAGATTCAGTGACCTTTTTTTTTTCCTTATCGATAGCTCCATTAACCTAGCGGGCGTTTTTCTCCTCTCCTCCCTTCTCTTCTGATTCCATCAACGCCATGCATACCACCTACAGCCTGTATGCCTTTGGTGTGGCATATAGGCCATCGATCGTCGTAGTGTTCGCTTCGGTTTGGCATCTCTTCTGCTTTCTTTGAGGTGAAAAATTCCTTTCATCAGTAATCCTGAAAAGTGGAAACTTGAAGCTCGGATTGGTATGGAGGAGGGATTGAATCGTGGGCTTTTTATCAAAGGGATTAAAACATGGATGCAGCTGAGGTTCACAGCGGCATGGTTAGGAGATGGCCATGCCGGAGGAGCGAAGAGGAGAGGCGACGTGAGGGATTTGCGGCTGGAGCAAAGAGGAGCGGCGACGTGAGGGATTTGGGGCTGGAGCGAAGAGGATTGGCCACGTGAGGGATTTGGGGCTGTAGGGTGCATGGGAGAGAAGGAGAGGAGACGTCAAGGCCTAATCGTGTATCCCCACGTCATCATATAGAAGAGATCCTTCTTTTTAACTGAGAAGAGATCAATACAGAAGATATCCTTTTTTTTAAATGAGAAGAGATCTTCTTTCGGGAGAGTAACAAACCGAACTGTGAATCGTAAGCATCCAGGACTCCTGCTCTTTCGGCAAATATAACTACGTTGATTTCTTCATAATCTTGGACGTACAACTAAAATCCAATGGTTATTATAGTTAGTTATCTAGGATTAACGTGGAGGCTCTAATGATGCTTCCAATTAGTAAATATAAGATATAAGATATAAGATATAAGATGTATCATAAATTAATTACAAGTAGAGGTCATTATACCAACTAGCGGTGCAAAAGCGCGGCATTACGCCACACCTGTATCTGAACCCGTTGTTGACTGATTTATAGCTTAGCGGTGTGTCAGGGTGGACGACACGAGCGGGCTTTTTGGCCCGCTCGTGGCCCGCTCGGTCCCGCCCAGCTCGGTCCTGGCCCGCTTGAAAAAACACCCAGTCCGGTCTGTGAAATATGGACCGAAATTTTTTCGGTCCGGTCCGGTTAAAGCCCGGTCCGCTCGGTCGGACCGAAGAAGAAGCACAAGCAGATCGTGCTCACCCGGTCATCCGCCTCCTTCACGCGACGGCCGGAAGAGATAGATGAAGACTACGTTACGCGCTGCCTTCTTTTCCTTTTACTCAGTCGAGAGAAAATAGAAAGAACGAGATTCACGCTGTCACAACGCCATCCCACGATTATTTGTTGCTACAAATAACTGCCCACGGAAATCTCTCCGTTTGTTTTCAATCTCATCTAATAACAGCCATCCATGATTCACGCTGTTTTTTTCCTTTTAATTTTCAGTCTAAATCTCTCTATTTGTTTTGTATACTAGTTAGCATGCACGTGCAACGCACGTCTCAACCAAAGCAACACATTATTCATGTGTATTGAATTCTGTAGTGTTGATAATCCCTGCCTCTCTAAAGGTGGAGTTCAATACAAACCCCACATTTATCTTCTGAGGATGTATGCAAAGTTGGAGCAGACAAAAAAGAAATCATAATCCAAGATGAAATTGCAATCGTATAATAATGATTTCAGAAGTATGTCTGATTTATTCTATGAACTTGGAAGGACTTATAATACATATATGCATTGTCCAAGTGAACATGGCAGAGATGCAAACTGTCAACAAGAAATACAAAAAAAAAACGCATCTTGGAACAACTGGATTTGTTCCCTCTTGGATTCAAGGTACATGTTATCTTCATAATTCGAATTGATGGGCTCGACTACAACGCCACAGTGGGAGTTACAACACGCACCACTTGCGGGCTTGAAGAGTTCTCCGGTGGCCAGGACCATTATGCACCCATTCCGAGTCTCGTCTCACATATCACAGTAAACCATTCAGCTAACCGCTATTTACTCACATATCACATAAAAGAAAAATAAGCTAACTGCACATTCATATTCAGTTATAAAGTAACAGAAAGCAAACTAAAAAAATTCTGAAGAAACAATCAGTTCTACAAAACAATTTTGCTGCCCTTGAAAAATAGAGATTGTGCTTTCAGCTTTGTTATTAACCGGAAACCGCTGTAATATGACTTCCTATTGTGTCCTAAACTTTCAAAGAGCTTAGAAGGCATATAAGGGCATCTGAAATTCATGTTCTGCTAAGCACCCAATGCACATTAAGCGCAGAGCACGATACAGACTATAGATGACAATAGAGTAAGTAGATGTCAGGGCCGAGAGCATGCACCTCACTAACTCAGGAATCAAAGATCCTAAAGTATGAACATCTCCACCAACAGTCAAACACGCATAGGGGACATACCATCTCTAGATCTGCACATTGCCCATATTGGGAAGAAAGAGTTTCTAGATCTGCACATATGCAGACTCCAAATCATTAGAACCCCTTGGTAAAAATT